TTGCTTGCCTTTTTTTTACTTTTGCCTTTTGCCTTTTGGCCTTGATTCTTGCTGTCTCTCTTAGTAAACACAATGCTGGTTTGGTGCTGTACTTCTTACTTAGTTGAAAGAAAAGAAGACTGACTTCTACTGGTATCAGGAATTTTTTTTTTCTTTTTTTGGTGGTGGGAGAGATGATGAAAATGTTCCAACATTGATTGTGGTAATGGTTGCACAATATTGTGAATATGCTAAGAATCCTGGTTTCTATATATTAAGCACAATGTGTGATACATGAGCTATATCTCAATATAGCTGTTATGTCCAAAGAATGTTTCCCAACCGTTTGTTCTCATGATACTCAGGGGACGATAGCAAACTCACTGACGTGTGTCCAGCTGCATAAACGAGCTGAAAAGATAGCGGTGATGCTCATGGAAAGAGGACATCTGCAGGATGGCGACCACGTCGCTTTGGTCTACCCGCCAGGTAGAGTGGGGCTGAGCTGGCTCCCGGGAGGTGGCCAAGTGGGCACCTGTATAAAGAGGCCATGGGCTGCACCTGTTAGCCATGGAGTAAGAGTGACTGCCTCATTGCCAGACTTCGCCACTGTATCCAGTTAGCTTCTACCTGGGTTCATTTGGGTCTAGTCAGTGCCACCCACAAGGACAAGCCACACATTATGTTATTTTAGAGGCTTACATAATGAGATATTTACAAAGACTTTTATATCTAAATTTATTAGCTTACAGAGGTAGTTCCCTTTAACAGTAGCAAAGATGTAACTACTCGGTGCTTAAGAATTGAGTGGTTCCTTAGAGAAATGATGCAGAAATTACTTCTGAGCTGCTTTGATATCTCGTGCCTAAAAGAAAAGGCCCAGTACAAGTTACCACCAGGCTTCCCAGCACCCACCCGGGTGAAGCAGTCAGTTAAGATTTAATTGTTTGCATGACCATCTAGCTTCTCCCAGACTAGCACTGATGCCGCCCGGGATGGCAGCCATTGAACGGTTGGGTCTGTTTCAAATGAGTATTTTTGTTTGTTTGTTTGTTTCCTCTTATAGGAATAGACCTCATCGCAGCATTTTATGGTTGTCTGTATGCGGGCTGTGTGCCAATAACCGTCCGTCCTCCACACCCTCAAAACATTGCAACGACGCTGCCCACTGTCAAGATGATTGTGGAGGTAAAGACACCTGGAGGTGCCCCAGCACATCCCCTGCCTCGGATCTGAGAGTTGAGGGTGCGGATCCCAGACTCCGGAGCCTCAAGGGCTCTTGCTGGCCAAAGGAATACACCTGTGTCCAGAATCAAAGCAGTAGGACCGAAAGTGCTCATGTCTGCCTTCAGGGCGCCTCGTTCTGGAAGCAAGAGTGAAACTCATGGTAGCAGTCACTACAGCGCCCTAGAGAAAGCGGCTCCCTATGGAAGCCACTTCTACCACTGCTGAAGACTGCCCTGCCTAGCCCAGCTAAGCAAAACCAACCACTTTTTTTTCCTCCTAAAAAGTCACATGTTTCCTGTTCATTTTGAAACTATACATTTGTCTTAACCGTTTTAAACCTGGACAGATGTTAAGAGTATCATGATACATATTTCCTCCTTTGGAGGATGAACCACAAAGAGCAGAACAGGTGTGGGCCAGAGAATACCCTGGTCAGTGTTTCACCTGTGAGTACTCTCATAGTGATGCTGTACTGTTTCTGTGATGGTTACTTCTGCTAGAAAGTATCTGTGATGTGTATTCAGACACGTGACACTTTGAGCAGAGCAGAGCTAAGACTGGAAGCAGTTAGTTTCAGTGATGTTGGCTGAGTGTGTTCCTAACACTGTGGACACTGCTCAGCTCCAGGGGCTGCAGGTGTCGGGTACTTTGCCTCCTGTACTTTGCCTGTTGCTTCCGTGAGCGGAGCCCTGGCTATCATACATCACAAGAAGTGGCGCTCTGAGTTGTCTGATTTGCCCGTGAGGGCCACCTGGTTTCGCCGTGTATAACGAGCCTTAGCCTCATGTGTAATAAGCACTCCTTGAAGCATTTCATTCCTGGTTTGTATTCCTTCCCTGCATCCTTTCTTCTGTGGCCCTCAGGTGAGTCGCTCTGCCTGTCTGATGACAACCCAGCTGATCTGCAAACTGCTACGGTCCAGAGAGGCGGCGGCAGCTGTAGATGTCAGGACGTGGCCCCTTATCCTGGACACAGGTCAGTCCTTGGCTAAGACAGGTGCATTTGCTGATTTCCTGGTTTTTAGTCATATCAGACGGGCTTACCGCTTTGTTTTGCTTTCCAGACGATTTGCCAAAGAAGCGGCCTGCCCAGATCTACAAACCTTCTAACCCCGACACACTAGCTTACCTTGATTTTAGTGTGTCCACAACTGGGATGCTAGCCGGCGTAAAGGTGAGAGGCGGAGTCTGTGGAATGTGCAGGCTGATGACGTGTCGGTTACAGGCCATGTGGTGACTGTCCCCTTTGTTCTTGTGCCTAATAACGGCACTCTGATAAAGCATGGAGGGGTGCAGATGGGTTTCGTTCAAACTGTTAACATGTGCAGTGTTTTCAGTAGCTAACTTTCCAAACGTTCCAGCTTCCTTTTATGGAAACCGCTTCACCAGCCCGCAGCAGAGTAACTGCATGTGTTTTCCTTTCTCGCCTTGGGTCTCAAATCCTGATTCTGTGTTGTAAAGATTTGCACAATGCAGCCTCTTGCGGGGCTGGCGGTGCTGGGGGTGGGGGGCTCCATTGTAACTTGTCAGATTGCTGCTCAGTGAAGCTGCAGTGATGTTTTGCCCTATCAGAGAATGGATCTGCCAACGTGTCACCCAGAATCAAAACCCTCGCAGCTCAGACATGTCCTTGGTCAGGTACTACACAAAACTGAACCATGGAAGGCGCTCTCTCTCTCTCTCTCTCTCTCTCTCTCTCTCTCCACTTTATTTACCTCATTTAGTGTTCACACTCCAACTACTCTTTACTAGAATTTGAGATGGTATACCAAACTAATTACAATAGGAAATAAATTAATTTTTCAAAAGCTTATGAAAAGAAATACTTTTAGACCAAGGTGAATTAGATACTATGGTACTGGAGTTAGCTTTCCAGCCTCCTACTGTTACAGCCAAAATGGAAACACATACCCTTGATTATACCATATGCATGCCCCACAGAAGTATGAGCTATAATATTAAATCTGTCTCAAGAAATATATTTCTGGGGTATTTGGCACAGTGGTGAGGATGCCACTTGGGATGCCAGCATTCCCTGTCAAAGTGCCTGGATTTGAGCCCCAGCTTTGCTTCTGATTCCAACTTCCTGCTAATGTTCACCTTAGAAGGCAACAGGTGGTGGCTCGTGTACCTGGGTCCCAGCCACCCATGTGGGAGACATGGGTTGAGTTCCCAGCTCCTGGCTTTGGCCTGGCACAGTCACAGCTGTTGTGGGCATTTGATGTAGATGTGAGATCTCTCTGTCTGGATTTGTCTTTTTCTGTCTCTGCCTTTCAAATTAAAAAAATAATTAGAAAATAGGAAACAAATTTATGAAACAAAGATAGTGTGATATGACTTTTCCTGATGCTTCTATTTTATCTACATTGTGTACCCCCACAAAATCCAGAGGTGGGTAACTAGATGTCCTCTTGAACTTACATAAAAGTTCTTTTTAAAACATCTAACCACTTGATTTATATGATAAACACCACCTGAGGTTAAAAAAAAAAAGGTGATGTCAATTAATGAAAAATCCCTATGCTTTAAGAACCGAGAAACATAGAATAGAATTGAAATTGTCTGGTTTTTGCCCTCTTCCTTGTGGAAATCCCTTCTTTTTTTTTTTTTTTTTTTTTTTTTTTTGACAGGCAGAGTGGACAGTGAGAGAGAGAGACAGAGAGAAAGGTCTTCCTTTGCCGTTGGTTCACCCTCCAATGGCCGCCGTGGCCGGCGCGCTGCGGCCGGCGCACCGCGCTGATCCGATGGCAGGAGCCAGGAGCCAGGTGCTTTTCCTGGTCTCCCATGGGGTGCAGGGCCCAAGCACCTGGGCCATCCTCCACTGCACTCCCTGGCCACAGCAGAGGGCTGGCCTGGAAGAGGGGCAACCGGGACAGAATCCGGCGCCCCGACCGGGACTAGAACCCGGTGTGCCGGCGCCGCTAGGCGGAGGATTAGCCTAGTGAGCCACGGCGCCGGCCCGTGGAAATCCCTTCTACTTTGTGAGCTCGTTGGTTGCAGAGGTGGCCATTTTTCTCAGAATGAAATTTTTCCTTCATTTCAGCTTTTGCACAAAAATGGCTTCGAGTGTTTAACTCCCATAAAAGTTGAGAGAGTGCAATAGATTGTTTTCTCCATAATGGTTGCTGTACACATCTGATGTTATATGAAAGCCATGAGTGTATGTTTATATGTTTAATTTACATTTACAGTTTCACACATTGAAAACTGTGGGTTTGAATTCCAAAGACTCCTTCACAGATCCCAATAGTTGTTCTGGATAAGCAAGGAGGTCAGGTAGAGGGCACACAGCATTCCACAGTCCAGATCAGTCACCGTATGGATTTTCCCAAGGGATGTTTTAGAACTCCCGGTGGCTGTCCTCTCCACCAAGGAGTCTTCCAGGATCTTCCCTGCACTCTCAGGTGGTGTCCAGCCAGGAAGTGGATACCTTAATTTTAAGATCACTGCCATGGCAGGTAGGCCTGCCCGGGATAGTCACACCACACGTTCCCAGAATACATACGTGACCTCGTCTCTAGTTCTTCTCGTCTCTAGTAGATATGTGTCTACTCTCAGTATCTCTTAGTGCAGAATGTTAGAGTCTGCCACTTGGGGCTTTTGGAAAACTATAAGAAGTGGGAGTTTTTCTCATGTAAGTTCAAGAGAGGCATTCCAACTTGGGCTCTTTGGTTTATGGTGTTGGCAGTTCCAAGATTTTAATGAGCTTAGAGATAGAGTATTTAACTTTCTTAGTCCCATTTTTTCTTTTTTATTCCCCCATAGATTAATTTTTAAACTTCAGATTAACATGTTAAAAATGCAGAAAGCTTCATAGATTTGTATGTCATCCTTGTGCAGGAGCCAGACTATTCTCTGTATTGTTTAATTTTAGTATATGTGCTGCCAAAGTGAGCACTTAATTCTCTTTCACTTGCCTTTTTCCATTCTTGTTTCTCTCTTCTCTCCATAATTGGTGCTATAGAATGTCTTGATTTTTGTATATAAGCCATGAGTATGTGTTTATACATAGTAAGAACTTAATATACTAGCATTTGCTAAGCTGGACTGAAGCACTCAATTTTCCACCTTAAAATAATGCCTTGCACAGAGTGCTGATGTGAATAAGAGGATAAATTTGGTAGGCAGGGTTTTTACTAACTCTTGATCCAGAGAGCCAGGACGTTGGAGGAATGTTTTATAAATCCTGCCTAATTTCTCCTTTTTAAGTAAATATTGTGGCTTTAAAATCAAGTTAAAAAGAATTAGTCATGTTTTATGAATCCAGTAAAATATCCATGCAACTTTGTCCTGGGCAGAATGTCTAACAGTGACCCAACATTTTACAACCAGAGTTTCCCTTACCCCCAGTTTCTCTCCTCTTTTCTTATAGTGATGAATAACTGGGAAACTGAGCATTTGTCTCATTTTCCTGCTTACTACAGTGCTACAGTGCTCTGTGCTGGCCCTCTTTATAGGTTAGCTTTGAGTGAGATGCTATTTTGGATTACCTTATCACATGTTTTAAAACCATGAAACTTAGCACAGTTTTCCATGCTTCTTTCTTCCTTCTTTTTCTCTTAGGTTTCATTGGCTAGAACATTTCTGTTAATAGGACTGATTTTGTTGTTCATAGTTCACAGTGTTTCTGGAGAGTTCACATTATATACTAACTATAGTGGGACTATGGGAGTGGTAGAGGGGGAGATAATAGGTCTTGGCTGTAGCCTTGATTGGGGTGGAGTGAGATTGAGTTTTGACTGCCATCTTATAGCGCAGTGCCATATCATGCAAAGGACAACACAGGGCTGGTATAAGGAGGCCTTGCTTCTAAGTCCAGCTCTAACTTACGTGCCCATCAGCAAATCCTTCAATGCCCCTGAGCCTCCCTTTGCTAATCATGAAGAATGGGGGTGATTTTTCCAGCCCGTGTTAACTGGCTGCCTATTGCATGGTACGTCCTAGAGACGTCACAGGAAGAAGGCACAGCAGAAACAGGCCTGAACTGTGATATCTTCTCCCACCTAATTACAGGTTGTTGGTGGGGGGGGTCAAAGAAGAACCCCTGTATGTATCATCGGCTGTTCAAATGCAGATACTGCTCATTCTGTTGCTGCAGTTATTAGATCTTGGGGAGCCAGAAAGTCGTGAATGCTGTTCACTCCTTGAACACAGGAAGACTGCTGAGAACATCAACAGCTCACTCTCCCCTAACGCTGCATAACCCGAGCTTGACTATTGGTTGTCCCCAGCCCTAGAAGCATCTTTCAGACGTGTGGCGTTAGGTACCGCGCGTTTAGTGCAGCCTCGTTACCTTACTGACGTCCTTTGGGAGTCAGGTACCCTGCACTCAGCACAGCTTCGCTGCTTCCCTGATGTCTTCCCGCATCAGGAACCCTGCACTGAAGGAAGCCTGTCTGTCTTGCAGATGTCTCACGCAGCCACCAGTGCCTTTTGCCGTTCTATTAAGCTGCAGTGTGAGCTTTACCCCTCTAGAGAAGTGGCCATCTGCCTGGACCCCTACTGTGGACTGGGATTTGTCCTCTGGTGCCTCTGCAGGTGAGATTCTTCTTTAGTGACTTTTGTTTAGGGAAAAAGGCACTGGGTGGGGGTAGGGGGAGGATTATGGGAGCACCCTCTTTTCTAGACGTTTGGCCCTACCAGACACCCCGAGCTGTGCCAGCTCCAGTGGAGGTGTGGCCTGCACTTGAGTGGCAGCAACCCAGTCTGTGTGCCTCTCCCTGCAGACCCGGCTGTTAGGGACAGAACAACGCGTGCTTGTGGCATTTCCCTCTCCGCAGCGTCTCCGACGTTTTGAAAGATCTTACAGAGATACTGGCTTCTAAGGCTGTCCTGAGAAGTTCTCTGTTTGGGACCTTTATTTCTCACAGTCCAAAGTGCCTTTAAAACCTGGCAATCAGGCCCGGCCTGGAATTCTTGTTGAATCAGTGGATGTTATAAGCTCTTGGCTCCTTCCGCCTTTTCCCCAACACTTACCTGGAGGAGGCCATTGAGCTGGGAATGTGTGAGAGCAAGCTCCAGAGGGCAGAGCGTACCTTTGTGTGTGCAAACTGCTCTCCACCCGGCAGCCAGCGCCACGCCTGGCTAGTAGCAAGCGCATGGTTTATGGAATGAATGAAACATGGGGTAGACAGGTGTTTCTTTTCTTTCTCCTGATTACACATGCATGTTCATTGTAGAAATTTTAGAAAATACACAAAGTAATACAAAGAGGAAAATAAAGCCATTAATAATCATACTACCTAATAAATGATGATTCCAGTAAGTATGCACTATTAGCATGGTATATAGCCTTTCAGAGTTTATTTCCTCAAGTGGCATAGTGTTTTTATGAATATTATTGTACATATTTATATAAAATATGCTGTAATAAGCCAGTGCTTCATGTGTATCAGCAATTTATCAATTTTGTTTCATCTATCCATCTACTTTTTTCCTTCCTTTTTTTACAAATGGAGCATTTTGAAGCAAACACAAATATCCTAAGACTTTCCCATAAATCTTTAAGAGTGTATACAGTTTTATAAATAAATATGCATTAATATATCTATAACACCAAGAAGCTACAGAATGAAGCTGCCTATAAATTTTCTTAACAGTCTATGGTGGAAATTTTCTTGTCTTTAAAACTCTCCTCTAGCGAAACCACATTTAAAATAGTCACAATATTTAATAGTTTTAGGCTGGATTACAATGCAAGTGTGTATTTTTGGAAAACACTGTCACTCTAGTTAGGACAGTAAAACTTTTGGAGAAAACAGGAATAGAACTGAATCACTGATATGGTTAACGACTTCTCTTCGGTACAAGTATAATTGCATCATAACTTTTATTTCCTTGGGAAACAGCTCAGAACATTTTCCAACAGTTGAACCAAAGTGCCCTGAGACATAGGTGCCCAGCATGGCAGGGAAGCCGAAGCCCAGCCCGAACCACCACCTGTATCAGAGGCTAAGTGCACTCGTACCAATATAGGCAAAGCCAATGAATGCAAGACTTCTGCTTCCCAAGCCTGACTCCCCAGGAAACCCACAGAGAAGCTTGTTGAAGGAAAAGTACATTCTCAGTGTGAATCACTAAAACACAGCAGCTTGAAGGGGTCATCCAGGTTGCACTCAGCCTGTATTTCAGAAACATCTTTCCCGCAAATCCATTCAGAAGTCACAGCATCACAGCATTCCCACGATCGCCTCTGTAGTCATAACCAAATGTACAGCGACTATAAACCTCTTTATTTTCTGAAATCCTCCGGAGAAAGAGATCCCAATGGTTTTGCTTCCAAAACATCACACACACACACACACACACACACACACCCCTCTCTTAGGTCTTTGAGGTACAATCACTAATATGAAGGCTAAAAATACAGTTATCATCACAGCACTGTTCTAGAACATTCCCAGCACCCTAAAGTAATTCCTGTCTATTTTGTCAATCTCATTTCCAACCCTACCCCCAGCAAACCAGTATTCTACTTCTTGCCCTTTTAGAGTTGCCTTTTTGCTATTTCCTATAACATAATCACATAATATTGTGAGCCTGGCCTCTTTCACTTTGTGTAATACCTCTGATGTTCACTGACATTTTAGTAATGCTTCCTTGTGTAGATATGACAAATACTGTTTGTCCATGCACCCACTGGCAGACATCTGGATTGCTTCCTTGTGACCATGGTTCCTGGGAACAATCACATCACGTCTTTGTGTGGACACACATTTCCTTTCCTGTTGGGGGATGACAGGATGGAAGCGAAGGGCCACACAGTAAAAATGCTTCTCCAGATTACATTTCTATCAACAACGTAGGAGAATTCCAGTTCGTCCACATTCTGGATTACTGTTGTTTTGTGATGCAACTTTGGAGTCAGGTAATATGAGCCTCCCAGCTTCATGATTTGGTCTGTTTGGTTATAGCTGCTCTAGTGAGTGAAGAGTAGTAACCCACTGCGGTTTTGATGTGTGTTTCCATAATGAACACTGGACATCTTTTCATGAGGTTATTGGCCATTTGTTTGGTTTCCTTGGATGAAGTGTCCATTTAAATATCTTGTCCATCTTTAAATTACATTGCTCATCTTCTCACTATTTGAGTTTTAAGAGTTTCTTATACTTCTAATTAGAAGAACTACACAAGATATCTGATTTTCAAATATCTTTTTTTCCCACACTGTGGTTTGTCGGTTCACTTTCTTAATCACCTTTTGATATGCAAAAGTCACAAGTTTTGTTTAAGTTCAATTTATTAATATTTCATTTATGGGCCGGCGCCGCGGCTCACTAGGCTAATCCTCCGCCTAGCGGCGCCGGCACACCGGGTTCTAGTCCCGGTCGGGGCGCCGGATTCTGTCCCGGTGGCCCCTCTTCCAGGCCAGCCCTCTGCTGTGGCCAGGGAGTGCAGTGGAGGATGGCCCAGGTGCTTGGGCCCTGCACCCCATGGGAGACCAGGAAAAGCACCTGGCTCCTGGCTCCTGCCATCGGATCAGCGCGGTGCGCCGGCCGCAGCGCGCCGGCCGCGGCGGCCATTGGAGGGTGAACCAACGGCAAAGGAAGACCTTTCTCTCTGTCTCTCTCTCTCACTGTCCACTCTGCCTGTCAAAAAAAAAAAAAAAAAAAAAAAAAAAAAATATTTCATTTATGCATTATATCTTTGGAGTTGCACTTAAGAATTTTGCCTAACTCAAGACTACAAAGAATTAATGTTTTCTCCTGAATTTTCAATCTTACATTGAGACCTCTAATCTTAATTCATACATTTAGATGTAAAGGTTCAATCTTTCTGAATGTAGATGTCGAATTTTCCCAGCATCATTAATTGAGAAGATTATCTCTTCTTCATTGAAATACTTTTGTTTCTTTGTTAAAAAAAAATCAATTGGAGCCGGCGCCATGGCTCAATAGG